TGGGGCGAACTGATATATGCCGACGGACGGCCCTGTTGGTAAGCTCTTGCTACTAGGGAATGCCACTATATAAACCCCTCTTTAGGCTGTACATTTTGTTTACCAAGAGCGAGTCATATGAGAAGGTATCAAGGAAGGTTTCCTCAATCTCTTAATAAACTATGCGTACATATGCACGTGAATGAAGCCAAATTTGAACTAAACAGATATCCAGGGTAGTAGATGTATCAAGTAACCTGTCAGTGAAGAAAGCAATAACGCCCATGACTTGTTTTATTTTTTCTCCTTTTATACCCGGTATCACCTTTTCTCTTAGATCCGTCGAGTTCTCAGACGGAATGAGCGCGTAGGCACTAAAAACACTTTTCCAGTGATTTTGAAGAAAATAAAAGACTGCTCGCAGTCTACAGTAGCACGAGAAAAAAGCGCGAAATCAAAGGGTGGGTAAAAGAAATACCGTTTGCCGGGTTAAATATGCCACTCCGAGGTAGAAGACAAAGATTGCCGAGCTGTATCTCTTAATTACACAAACAAACCACAAAATCCTTCTTCTACGCATGCTATGCAAGCTGTCCTTTCTCATCTTTATTAAAGTATGATTTTTACCCTCACATTTACGATGATTATGATTCTGTCTCGTGGCCGGAGATGATGTAAATGTTACTGAGAAAAGTAATCAAAATTTATTTAACAGGCCTTTCTCCCACGAGTCTGAGGAGTTTTTAATTATTATCCACACGTCGAGCTTTTACTTACGCGCAGGTGCTTCTAAACGATCGACAAATTTTATAATATATTGTGTCTATTTTTAGATGAAATGGAGCATTTGAGTGCGGCGTAGACCAAACTTATGTCATTTTTTAGTGTATAGCACTCCAGAGGATACCATTCTGACTGTTCTGCAACATTTAGTTGCTGTATTACGTCAATTAATGTACTGAATCCACGTATTGCCGGGTACCTTGCTTTTGATTCCTATATGACAAGTGTGATATCTTCTATAGTAACATTAAATAAAATCTTAACTGTAAGCGAATAAACTAACATGTATTTCGCTTTGATGTCACACTGAACTAATGGAGTTGACAAATTTAATGTCAAAATTCATGCAGTCGTTCTATCACCAACCTGTTTTAGTATACCATGCCTTCCTGTTGTTAAAACAATCTTATTTTCCCTGGTTCGTCTTGGCTGGTCAACATCAGGAACTTTTCCTCGAATTAATCTTAGGGGAAAAAAAACCTAGTAGGTATGTAGCCGCTAGGGTGTTAACCTTAAATTGTATATGTGATAATTTAAACAAGTTAACCCTCTTAGGTACAAGGGGGGTATGGATGCCCTCCCCCCCCCCCCTCCCATAAGGTTTTTCTGAGTTTTTTCCTAGAGGATAAAACATCAGTACCTGAAGTTTTCAGCAGCTGTTCATTCATCCCTCCCGCACATTTTGTGTCAGGTGCTATGGTTACGAGATATGACGTCACAAGTAGCAGTTGGTCAAGCCAATTTTGGGTGAAAATACATGTTTTTTCAACTTCTTTTAACAACAATAGCAAATCTTGTGGCTAAAATCATCCAAAGAGTGCTTATTTATGTGTTATTTTTTCATATAAAGCACAAAAATTACCATTTCTTTTATTATTATTATTATTATTACTATTATTATTATTATTATTATTATTATTGTTATTTTATTTTAACTATTTCGAGGCTGTGGAAAAAATAAAAATCTAAGCATACAAAGCTAAAGCTATCGAAATAAGTTTTACTTCAAATGTTCGAAAAGAAAACGTTTGTCTAGATCATCAAAGTGCTTGATCTTAAAAAAAGCTTGTTAAAAGTGCAAGCTTGGCTTAAAAAAAGGCCACGCTGATCAGGATATTAACTTAGGCCAGAAACCAAAAACGAAAACAAACTTACATTAACTACCGCCGTGTACATAGTGGTAGAGCCACTTTTGTCGCAATAATCTAGTTGAAAAAAGAAAAAAAAAGGAACTGAGGAAATTCTTGTTCAAAACAATAGCCTTGTAGCTGCAAAAAGGTGCAAAGAAAACTTACAGAACCACAGCCAGCAAGACAACACCCCTCGGAAAGAATTTTTAATTTACAAAAATTCCTCTTGTCTAAATTGGAGCCGCGTGCAAAGACGTTTAATATTTGTTCTACTGCACTAGCAGACACATCAATAAATAAATTATTGGCGTCTAAAGTTACTCAGAACTAGACTAAGAATGATGTCTAATTTTCTTTTTCACACCATCAACTTAGTGCTTCTTTTCTCGTTTCGATCTTGCCGGAGAACTATAGCTACTCATAAGATCCGCCCCATTTGAAACTTTGCGCTGGCGAGAAATGTCAACTATTTTTCCTTAAGTATTATATTATTCACGCTAGATCGGAAGTGAGGTGACATGTTTAATGTACATGTAGGTAGGTAGGTAGACAGGTTTATATGATGCCTCTGCTTGTGCCTTTTCGAAAATCGACGAGCACGCCAATCCCCCGCGGTTATCTCATACGCGCGTTCGACGATCTTTAAAGTCTGTGAACAGTCTAGTTTCGCTATAGCGATATTGTTTCCTTACTTTGACTTCATACTGTGACCGCAGAGCTTTAATAAGCGCCATCTCCTCGCATTAACTCCTTTATGCTGCGCTAAAGTTTACAGAGATGAACGTTTTAAGGCCAGTATATCAGGCATAACATAACATAGCAGAAACTGAGAGAGGAGCAGGTAGGGACCACGCATTCTCTCTTGCAAAACCCGAGGGTTCAGGGGCAAGTAAACAACTCGTTGTGCGTATGTTATCAAATGTACTGGCCTGGTGTGCTTCAGTGAAGAGATTTTTGGTGTCACACTCAGCGTTCATAAATGATTAGTAAACTTACATTACGTATAATAATCGGTAAAAAGGAACATTGCATAAGAAAATGTGGAGACAAAAAATCTAGACTGAAGCAAAGGTTATGAACGTGCGAAACCTCAGTGAACACAGTGCGAGTAGGTTTTATGTCTTTACGGCGATGACCTTCTCCTTTCTGAAGTTCAGATTTATATTATTGAAAAGAATCGTGAACAAACAAAAAAATACAGTGGGATTATATTGGGAAGTATACTTCCGAAAAACGAAATGAATTATTAAAATATTGGTAAAAGAAACACTGAACCCAGCGTATTGAGAAAGATTGAATCAAATTACACAAACGTTGTTACGCAGTTTTTTGTTTTTTGTTTTCGCCATTTTTCTCCCAGCAAAGAACAAAGCATTGACTTTTATTCAAACCAAGGTTTATATTTACAGTATCAGAAAGAAAATGACCAAGAGTGTACTGTAAGGAACCCTGCGTTGAAATCACTGGGTAGATGAAATGAGGAGGGAATGGGAGGTAGCTGATAAGCGTGCTAAAGTGACCTTTTTGGTGACGGAACGGCCACGCTAAGCAAGAGAAGATGTCGCGACTAGTGCTTGCTAATCAGGCCGTCAGCACTGTGAATTGAGGACAGCCTTGTTAGGGTGATGGGTACCACTTTCGACAGCGACAGAATTTGACCGATGCAAATGGCATTTCATCCAACTTGAAACTAGTTTTGTCAGTTTTAGAGGAACAAGTTCTGTAAGGAAGTTGTTCATCTAAATTCTTCTAAGTTGCTTCCTTGTTGGCTTAAGTCATAATTACTTGTTGTGATAGCATTACAAATACCAAACATCCCTTTTACGGTTCAAAAGGTTCGAGGAGCTTATTAATTCGAAAAAACAAAAATGATTGATTGCTAATCTCCTCTTTCGACGCTAATACACAAAGGCACTACTAAAAGGATATAGCTGAGACGTGATGGAAAACAAACTGACAAGTATGTCCCATAGCTCTGTAGTGGTTATAATGCATTTATTAAACAATAACTTTGTATCACTTTGGCATGGCAGTGACTTAATTTTCCCCATTGTTTTTGATGGAGCAAGTCAGATTTTCTGTGCACATTTTGAGAGAAGCCAATAAACTGTCAATGAGCTTCGCAATGTCAGACACTAATTAAGAAGCTGCAACTCTTGACACTTGAAGGATAAAGCAAAATAGTATATCACGGGAACTGTAGTAAAGAAGTTCGCCAGAGGTTGGGAATAAGAAGGAATGGATAAAGCTCGTGACCGACTGCAGTGAACCAAAAGTTTGCATTCTGCATTTGTCTGTATTAATTATCTCTCAGCAGACTGTCCAACCATCCCAATTTCGTCAGGATTGCCCCGATTTTGCTTGAAAATCTCAAATCTTGACCAATATATGATCGGGATAGGAAAAATCTCGATTTTGACATCTTTACCAGAACACCAGATACTGAGTGCAATTAGCTGAAACTGATATTCCAAAAACTATAGAAGCTGCCAGAAATATAACAAAAAATCGAGTACTCGTACGCGAAGCCACGCAAAGGCACAAAGCCACAAAGGGGTTTGTAGAAAAGGTCAGCCATCTGGATGGTCCTTTCTAAATCCTTGGTCATCGCGGGGTAGTACTTGGTGTAAGACTGCCCAAAATGTCCCGGGCCACCGCCCACCACTGTTAGTGCTGTAGTAACTGTACCCTAGTAGACGTAATAATACCTGTAGTAGCTGTAGCACTGTAGCAGCTGTAGTACCTGTAGTAGCTGTAGTAGCTGTAGTAGGTGTAGTACCTGTAGTACCTGTAGTAGCTGTAGTACCTGTAGTACCTGTAGTACCTGTAGTAGCTGTAGTACCTATAGTGGCTGTAGTAGCTGTAGTAGCTGTAGTAGCTGTAGTACCTGTAGTACCTGTAGTACCTGTAGTACCTGTAGTACCTGTAGTAGCTGTAGTGCCTGTAGTAGCTGTAGTAGCTGTAGTAGCTGCAGTAGGTGTAGTACCTGTAGTATCTGTAGTACCTGTAGTAGCTGTAGTAGGTGTAGTACCTGTAGTAGCTGTAGTACCTGTAGTAGCTGTAGTAGGTGTAGTACCTGTAGTAGCTGTAGTAGCTGTAGTACCTGTAGTACCTGTAGTAGCTATAGTAGCAGCTATAGTCGCTGTAGTACCTGTAGTAGCTGTAGTATCTGTAGTACCTGTAGTAGCTGTAGTAGGTGTAGTAGCTGTAGTACCTGTAGTAGCTGTAGTAGGTGTAGTAGCTGTAGTACCTGTAGTACCTGTAGTAGCCGTAGTGGGTGTAGTAGCTGTAGTAGGTGTAGTAGCTGTAGTAGCTGTAGTAGCCGTAGTAGCTGTAGTAGCTGTAGTACCTGTAGTACCTGTAGTAGCTGTAGTAGCTGTAGTAGCTGTAGTAGCTGTAGTAGCTGTAGTAGCTGTAGTACCTGTAGCAGCTGTAGTAGCTGTAGTAGCTGCAGTAGGTGTAGTACCTGTAGTATCTGTAGTACCTGTAGTAGCTGTAGTAGGTGTAGTACCTGTAGTAGCTGTAGTAGGTGTAGTAGCTGTAGTAGCTGTAGTAGCTGTAGTAGCTGTAGTAGCTGTAGTAGCTGTAGTAGCTGTAGTACCTGTAGTACCTGTAGTAGCTGTAGTATCTGTAGTACCTGTAGTAGCTGTAGTAGCTGTAGTAGGTGTAGTACCTGTAGTAGCTGTAGTAGCTATAGTAGGTGTAGTACCTGTAGTAGCTGTAGTAGCAGTAGTAGCTGTAGTACCTGTAGTAGCCGTAGTGGGTGTAGTAGCTGTAGTAGGTGTAGTAGGTGTAGTAGGTGTAGTAGCTGTAGTACCTGTAGTACCTGTAGTACCTGTAGTACCTGTAGTAGCTGTAGTAGCTGTAGTAGCTGTAGTAGCTGTAGTACCTGTAGTAGCTGTAGTAGCTGTAGTAGCTGCAGTAGGTGTAGTACCTGTAGTATCTGTAGTACCTGTAGTAGCTGTAGTAGGTGTAGGCTGTAGTAGCTGTAGTAGCTGTAGCTGTAGCTGTAGTAGCTGTAGTAGCTGTAGTAGCCGTGTAGTGAAAGTAGTGTAGTAGCTGTAGTAGCTGTAGTAGCTGTAGTAGCTGTAGTAGCCTGTAGTGTGTAGCTGTAGCTAGTAGGTGTAGTGGGTAGTAGCTGCAGTGTAGTAGCTGTAGTACCTGTAGTACCTGTAGTAGCTGTAGTAGCTGTAGTAGGTGTAGTAGCTGTAGTACCTGTAGTACCTGTAGTAGCCGTAGTAGCCGTAGTAGCTGTAGTAGCTGTAGTAGGTGTAGTACCTGTAGTAGCTGTAGTACCTGTAGTAGGTGTAGTACCTGTAGTACCTGTAGTAGGTGTAGTACCTGTAGTAGCTGTAGTAGCTATAGTACCTGTAGTACCTGTAGTAGCTGTAGTACCTGTAGTAGCTGTAGCAGCTGTAGTAGCTGTAGTACCTGTAGTACCTGTAGTAGCTGTAGTAGTTGTAGTAGCTGTAGTAGCTGTAGTATCTGTAGTACCTGTAGTACCTGTAGTACCTGTAGTACCTGTAGTACCTGTAGTAGCTGTTGTAGCTGTAGTAGCTGTAGTAGCTGTAGTAGGTCTAGTACCTGTAGTAGCTGTAGTAGCTGTAGTAGCTGTAGTACCTGTAGTACCTGTAGTAGGTGTAGTACCTGTAGTAGGTGTAGTAGCTGTAGTAGCTGTAGTACCTGTAGTAGGTGTAGTAGCTGTAGTAGCTGTAGCACCTGTAGTACGTGTAGTAGGTGTAGTACCTGTAGTAGCTGTAGTAGCTGTAGTAGCTGTAGTAGCTGTAGTACCTGTAGTAGGTGTAGTAGCTGTAGTAGCTGTAGTAGCTGTAGTAGCAGTAGTAGCTGTAGTACCTGTAGTAGGTGTAGTGGCTGTAGTACCTGTAGTAGGTGTAGTAGCTGTAGTACCTGTAGTACCTGTAGTAGGTGTAGTACCTGTAGTAGCTGTAGTGCCTGTAGTACCTGTAGTAGGTGTAGTAGCTGTAGTAGCTGTAGTAGCTGTAGTAGCTGTAGTAGGTGTAGTATCTGTAGTAGCTGTAGTAGGTGTAGTAACTGTAGTAGCTGTAGTAGCTGTAGTAGGTGTAGTAACTGTAGTAGCTGTAGTGTCTGTGGTAGGTTTAGTAGCTGTAGTAGGTGTAGTACCTGTAGTACCTGTAGTATCTGTAGCACGGTAGTAATAGTAGTAATAAATTGCTTTATTTGCATGACCGCATCACTTTACAGTATTGCAAAAGCATTTATATGACAATCAAAATAAAAAACAAAACAGCACTAATAACAATCTAGAAAAATTCGGTTACATTACTAACAATGAATCACGTATTTTCATGCAGGAGGAGACAAACTTCATAACTAACTTATTTACATGATGTTCCTTCGAATTCATTATCAGTTTTATGCTTTCCGGAGATGATTTCTAGTCAAAGTCAGGTATTATTCGATTGATTTGATTAATAAATGCCTGTCTCTGTACTGAGTATTTGTTACATTGAAAGATGAAATGAATCTCATCTTCTACCTGATTTGAGTTACATAAAGGACATAATCTATTTTCTCTTGGCAAATGATCGATTTGGTATCGACCATGTTCAATCATAAGTTTGTGATTACTTATTTTAAATTTAACAAAATTTTATCGTTCGTCATAATGTCTTAGCTGGTAGAGATAATCAGATGTAGAATATTCATCTTTAAAATTTTTATAAAATTCTAGTTTTTTTGAATTTTCGAGGCTGTGCCGCCAAAAAGATAGATATTTCTCTCTCATTTCTGTGGTATATCGTCTAATTTTCTCATTATCTAGAGATTCAGCATCTAAACTGGTTAGATTGTATTGTTCAAGCATGTTTATGAAATTGGAAAAATTTCCGGAATTATTCATAGAATGTAGATTCTTTGACATAAGGAAAGACTGTTTGACTATAGAGTCATTATCTTTGTTGTTGAGGTAAACAAAATATTTCATAATTTTCTGATTTATCGGGATAAGCAGCGGCAGTCTATCAAGTTCAGCTCTGCAGGCTATGTTAGAGGCCTTATTGTTAACCTCTAAGTAACGTTTACAGAATTTGAGGTGGATTTTTTCTATTGGGGAGCTATCCCATTTTTTAAAATCTTGCTTGGTATACATTTCCCATACCTCGCTGTTGTAACTCAAGATTGGGAATACCATGGTGTCAAAAATTTGGGATGCAGTATTAGGATTAAGTTTGTTAAGAATTGTCCGCTTCCGAATACTAGAAAACGCGTGAAGGGCCTTTTCTTTTAAGTGTTCGAGTGCAAGTGTAAAGTTTCCCGTTGGAGTTAAACGTGTACCTAAATAAGTGTATTCTTGGACAATTTCAATTGACTCACTGCCTATGTTGAATTTGATGTCAATAGATTTTTTGGGGCGTTTCTGGAATATCATAATTTTTGTTTTCTTGGGATTAATTTTTAGCTTCCATTTGTCACAATACAAAGAAAGCGCATTTAAACAGTTCTGTAATCCAGTTTTCGATCTTGATAGAGTAACTAAATCATCTGCGTAGAAAAGTGAATTTATTTTTTTCCCATTTGGGAGAACAAATGGGTCAGATAAGGTGTTTTCGAATAAAAGTGGTAGATTGTTTAAATAGAGGTTAAATAAAAGAGGGCTTAAAATACAGCCTTGACGTACACCTCTGGAATATGAAAAAGGCTGTGTTTTTTTTTCACCGATTTTGATGGAACATGTCGAGTTGCAATAAAGACTTTTCATGAGGTTGTACAAGTTTCCTCCTATATTCGTTTTTAGCAGCTTATAAAACAATCCTTCGTGCCAAACAGAGTCAAACGCTTTGCGGAAATCTACGAAACAAGCGTAGACTTTTTCCTTGTGATAATGCACATATTTATCTATTAGGGTCCTTAGAGTGAAAACATGGTCTGCAGTGCGGTTTTCAGGCAAAAAGCAAATTTGGGAATTATGTAATATCTTATTTTTCTCAAAATACAAGTGAAGTCTTCGATTTAAAATAGAACAGAACAGTTTTCCAAGGCAACTAGAAACACATATGCCTCTGTAATTTGTTGGATCACTCTTGTCACCAGATTTGTAAATTGGGGTTATGAGGCCTTGACATGCACCAAACATCTGGCATTTTTCCGGATTGTAAAATGAGGTTATAAAGTTTGACATAGACAGGCATTAGTGGTTCGAGGCTTGCTTTGATCATTTCATTTCGTATTTTGTCAACAAATGGTGATTTCTTATTTTTCAATTTCTTCGCCGCTTGACGTATTTCCCTCTCAGTTATCTCATAATCGAGATGGTTAAACTGTTCCTTTTCGTGTTCTAAAGAATTTAGTTCCCTATGGATTTCATGTTCATGCGTGGAATTCGTCGGGTCAATAGAATGCAGAGATTTGAAATGGTGAAGCCATGATTCTTCCGAGATTGGGGCAGGAACATTTTCGTTGAAAGTGTCGCTCATCGAATTTAAACAATTCCAAAATGACGCCTTGTCAGGATTTAAAGCTAGTTCGTCGAGTTGTAATGTTTTTTCTTTGTGGAATCCTCTCTTCTTTGTGCCTAGGAGCTTTTTGTAATCATTCAAGGTTTTGTGATATCTTTCCCGCACTTCGGAGTTGAGGGGTCACGATGCTTTTCATTTGAGACTTTTCGTAATTCATGCCTTTTCAAGCGACATTCACAGTCGAACCATTTCTTGTTGGATGATTTCTTAATACGCTTATAAGTTTTCTTAGCTTTAATTTTTAGGCATAGCTTGGAGCTCTCAGTTAGAATTTTCATAGCGTTTTCTAAGGAGATATTCACATCTTCGGTGTTTCTCTCCATATATTGTCTAATTAGAATTTGGATTGGTTCCGTGCGCAGTGCGTTTTTGAATTTTAAATGTGAGTCAACTTCCCAGCAAAATTGCCGTGGTAATTTTGATAATCTATTGCTACTATTGGGAGTGTGCATTTCGTCTCCAATTAACCTGGTGTTAAGATTGAGCCATGCCACGATGGCACTATGATCCGATAAGTAAGATGGCTGTTTAACAACAAAATTTGCAACGTTGAGAAATGTACACTGATCACATATTAGATAATCAATAACGCTCGTTCCGTTTTTTCCATGAAAAGTGGGTCTGCCTAGGGTATCTCCATTAACTCTGCCATTAACTATTCTTAGGTCAAAGGTTTTACAAATTTCCAACAGCCGTTTCCCATGGCTATTTAAAACATTATCAAAACTGTTTCTTTGAGTTGGCTGGAAAGCAGATTCCGACTGATCATTACTAATTCTACTGTTTCCCTCCTTTGAGACAGTATCAGAGTATTTCCCGGTTCTCGAGTTAAAGTCACCCATGAGAATTATTGATCCTTTCGAAGAAAAACGTACTATGTCTTGTTCTAGCTGATCAAAAATTTCGTTATCAAAGTATTTTGAGTTACAGGGGGGTATATAGACACCACAGACGTAAATATTCTTCACTGAATTTAGAAAACGATTCTCAATTTTAAACCAAATAAAATGCTGAGTTGTTTTAGTGATGGAAATGTTTTTGTGGAATTTGTTCTTATAAAATAAAGCGATTCCTCCGGAGTTACGCCCACCTCTCCCCGACTGATTTGGTGTGGGACATTGAAAAAAAGATTTGTATCCCGCAATTTCCAGATTAGAGCAGTTGCCAATTTCTGTTAACAATATAAAATCGGAGTTATTAATAACACTCAAAAAATCAGTATTATCTAACTTATTTCCAAGATATTTCGAAGAAAGGCCATTAATATTCCAAGCGCAAAAGGACAATGTGCTTGAAATATCGGGACTATCTTCGGTGTCCGTGATTGTATAGAAAATAATAAATGGATTACTCTTTATACTGGTATAAAGTTTATCATTAATACTTAATTCAGTGTCAAGGGTAAGATGAAATTGTTCATACAAATGATTTTATAAAGTAGCTGTAGTATCTATAGTAGGTGTAGTATCTGTAGTATCTTTAGTAGGTGTAGCAGCTATAGTATCTGTGGTATATGTAGTAGCTGTAGCAGCCTTAGTAGGGGCCTTAGTAGGTAGCTGTAGTAGGTGTAGTACCTGTAGTACCTGTAGTATCTGTAGCACGGTAGTAGCTGTAGTATCTATAGTAGGTGTAGTAGGTGTAGTATCTGTAGTATCTTTAGTAGGTGTAGCAGCTATAGTAACTGTGGTATATGTAGTAGCTGTAGCAGCCTTAGTAGGGGCGTCCAGTGGTGTAAGGAATTGTAAAGATTCCTTTCTACCTTCCAGCCAATTTTCCAAGCATTCATATCGACTAGTCTCACTTTCAAGTGCCGCTGCACCGCAACATGAAGGAATCTAGACCCAGCAATATGAGGTTCATGGGATCGTTATTAGCAGCAGAGTGGCCAATGCGTATTATATAAATTTGATGAATAAAAATACGAAAGCTGTTGAGCATACATTTTTGCCGACAATTAGCTTAAGCGGGCTTCAAAGCTATTTCGCATTATTTCGGGTTCAACGGGCTTATCGATTTAGTCAATCGACCAAACTTAGAAGATTATTAGCAGTAAGCCAGTGAAACCGAGTCCATACTCAAAGGGATTAATATAAAGTACGGTCGATTTAATGGGCGAGAGAATATATAGAATATAAACGTAGGTATGTGAGTCCTGAATGGAACCTTCTACAAAGTACAAAAGACGATTTGCAGAAGCTTATGAAAGGAACATCAAGGTTCACACACATTTGATCAAGTTAGTGATATATAGAAATATTTTCTAGCTTTTATCTTTTTACGCGACCTCTCTTGTTCTTACGACTGTGGTGTCCCATGCTCAATTGCACAAAATTGACCCGGCGAGGCTACCAGGGGCACCCAAAGACAATTTTCTGCGAAATATCTGTTCGGAGAAGCAAATATTGCCAAGAATTTTCTTTTGCTTGAGGAAGACTAAAAATTTCTAGATGGACCTTCCATTCATAAACAATTTTCGATGCTTTATACCTAGTAAATTCCCTACGAATTCTGATTTTTAATGTTTCAAAATCAGTTCCCACGTTACAATATTTTTCTTAAAAAATGGTCACCTAGACTTTTTTTGGATTCTAAAATGTGATGGGGAGAGGTAACCAGAAAAATCCTCACTTTCGTAAATCGTTAAATTGCAACTAAAATTTTCGAAAAAGTAACACTGAAGCCTTTGTAATTTTGAAAACTGACTTAAGTTGCTCTAGGATGACCGGTCAGACCGGTAGGGCTTTCCATAAGTTGTTCGAGATTTTCCAAAAAGTTTCTCATTATTTCTCAAACAAATGCTCAAAAGTTGCCAAAAACAATCAAAAGTTGCTTATTGCAACAAAACTTACTCAAAAGTTGCTCGAAAGACAAAATCTTTGTTTGGTCTGAAGTTATGAAAATATGCAAATTGTACAAAAAAAAGTAACATTTCTTAGCATTTTTGTGCAATTTTTCAGAGCAACCAGCTTTGCTTAATAACTTTGTCCGGAGTTAAGATCACGAAAGAAATGTAATGAGCCGAGACACTCGAGTCAGTCGAGTGAGAGTCTGCGTCAATCATTTAAAATTTTTTTGTAAACACCGCTGACTTATCTTGCGCCCTTAATGTGCCTCAGGGGAGGAGTATTTGTCTCCTTTTTTCTACTGGTAATTTGCAAATTGTATACAAAACATTGTGAAATATGGAACAAAGGCTAATTTAAACACTAAGAGCTGCTCCGATATCACAGAATTAGATGACAAAGTTCTAAAGAAATCTTAATCAAAAAGCCAATAGTTGCAATAAAGGAAAGGAGTTGTTCGAAATACGAGAAGTTGCCAAAAAGTTGCCGAGCAACTTGTGGCCTGCTTGTGGAAAACTCTAATGACCTAAACGATAACAATTTTGTAGTGCCGCTTAGAATGCATTTCTAGGGTGCAGAAAAGAAAACTCTGGACAGCGTAAAAAGTGTTTCCAACGTACTTTAAAGCAGACAGTCGTTGGGTGCCCCAGAGGCTTTCACCCTTTACTATGTGACATCACGACACTGGAAAGCGAGTCCAGAAACGTAGTTGGAAAACAATATATTCACCTTTCCCACCCCCTTCTCGCGACTTTAAGACAACCGAGTGTGACTGACTGGAAAAAGCCAACAGAAAGACTTGTATTCAAATGTAAAAAACTTTTATTGCCACATTCATCGATAACAAGAGCCATTGGCTCTTTTCCATAACTAATGATCAGATGCTTTTCTTAAAAATTGAAATTATTCTTATTGAAGTCTCTACCTAAGAAATGGGAAACTCATAAGTTTCTCGAGCTAACCGCTGCTCTATTTCGCAGAATCTTTTTTTCCCCTTGTCTTTGCTATGCTATTACTCAAAACAATTCTTTCAACAATCTGTCATTTCAAGGGACATCAAGAATTTAAATCAAGACGAACATTCTAGAAATTAAAGAAATGTTTGCCAATTAAACATAAGAAAGTAATCTATACAAACAATAAAAGAAATATGTAATAAGCATGAAAACGCTAATGACGATAGAATAATACCTTTCAATGAATTTATCTACATTTCTGTTCGCAAAATTGAATCTTGAAACAAATGTTGGTAATTTTGGTATTTTGGGAAGGTTTAGAACTTCAGCTCCGAAATTTCATTTTCCCATCAGTTCTTTATTCATTTATTTATGTTTACAATATAAAATATGCGCATGAATAGGCGCATGAACGATTTTCAACGATTTCTCTGCACGGCTGGCTAGGCAATTATCCGCTCAAAGACATTTTGGTCAAGTTTAAAATAAGTAATCACAAACTTCTGATTGAACAAGGTCGATACCAAATAGATCATTTGTCACCTACTACTACACCTACTACAGCTACTACAGATACTACACGTACTACAGATACTACAGCTACTACACCTGCTACAGGTACTACACCTGCTACACGTACTACAGATACTACAGCTACTACGGGTACTACAGATACTACACCTACTACAGGTACTACAGGTACTACAGCTACTACAGCTACTACAGCTGCTACTACAGGTACTACAGGTACTACAGCTACTACAGCTACTGCAGCTACTACAGCTACTACACGTACTACAGCTACTACAGGTACTACAGCTACTACAGCTACTACACCTACTACAGCTACTACAGCTACTACAGCTACTACAGCTACTACAGCTACTACAGCTACTACAGCTACTACAGCTACTACAGCTACTACAGCTACTACACCTACTACAGGTACTACAGCTACTACAGCTACTACACCTACTACAGCTACTACAGCTACTACAGGTACTACAGCTACTAAAGCTACTACACCTACTACAGCTACTACAGCTACTACAGCTACTACCTGTACTACAGCTACTACAGCTACTACAGCTACTACAGCTACTACACCTACTACAGCTACTACACCTACTACAGGTACTACAGCTACTACAGCTACTACAGCTACTACAGCTACTACAGCTACTACAGGTACTACACCTACTACAGGTACTACAGCTACTACAGCTACTACAGCTACTACAGCTACTACAGCTACTACAGCTACTACAGGTACTACAGCTACTACAGGTACTACAGCTACTACAGGTACTACAGCTACTACAGCTACTACAGCTACTACAGCTACTACAGGTACTACAGGTACTACAGGTACTACATCTACTACAGGTACTACAGCTACTACAGCTACTACAGCTACTACAGGTACTACAGGTACTACAGGTACTACAGGTACTACAGGTACTACACCTACTACACCTACTACAGCTACTACAGGTACTACAGGTACTACAGCTACAACCTCATGAAAAGTCTTTATTGCAACTCGACATGTTCCATCAAAATCGGTTAAAACAAAACACAGCCTTTTTCATATTACAGGGGTGTGCGTCAAGGCTGTATTTTAAGTCCTCTTTTATTTAACCTCTATTTAAACAATCTACCACTTTTATTCGAAAACACCTTATCTGACCCATTTGTTCTCCCAAATGGGAGAAAAATAAATTCACTTTTCTACGCAGATGATTTAGTTATTCTATCAAGATCGAAAACTGGATTACAGAACTGTTTAAATGCGCTTTCTTTGTATTGTGACAAATGGAAGCTAAAAATTAATCCGAAGAAAACAAAAATTATGATATTCCAGAAACGCCCAAAAAAATCTATTGACATCAAATTCAACATAGGCAGTGAGCCAATTGAAATTGTCCAAGAATACACTTATTTAGGTACACGTTTAACTCCAACGGGAAACTTTACACTTGCACTCGAACACTTAAAAGAAAAGGCCCTTCACGCGTTTTCTAGTATTCGGAAGCGGACAATTCTTAACAAACTTAATCCTAATACTGCATCCCAAATTTTTTGACACCATGGTATTCCCAATCTTGAGTTACAACAGCGAGGTATGGAGAATGTATACCAAGCAAGATTTTAAAAAATGGGATAGCTACCCAATAGAAAAAATCCACCTCAAATTCTGTAAACGTTACTTAGAGGTTAACAATAAGGCCTCTAACATAGCCTGCAGAGCTGAACTTGATAGACTGCCGCTGCTTATCCCGGTAAATCAGAAAATTATGAAATATTTTGTTTACCTCAACAACAAAGATAATGACTCTATAGTCAAACAGTCTTTCCTTATGTCAAAGAATCTACATTCTATGAATAATTCCGGATATTTTTCCAATTTCATAAACATGCTTGAACAATACAATCTAACCAGTTTAGATGCTGAATCTCTAGATAATGATAAAATTAGACGATATACCACAGAAATGAGAGAGAAATATCTATCTTTTTGGCGGCACAGCCTCGAAAATTCAAAAAAACTAGAATTTTATAAAAATTTTAAAGATGAATATTCTACATCTGATTATCTCTACCAGCTAAGACATTATGACGAACGACAGAATTTTGTTAAATTTAAAATAAGTAATCACAAACTTATGATTGAACATGGTCGATACCAAATCGATCATTTGCCAAGAGAAAATAGATTATGTCCTTTATGTAACTCAAATCAGGTAGAAGATGAGATTTATTTCCTCTTTCAATGTGACAAATACTCAGTACAGAGACAGGCATTTATTAATCAAATCAATCGAATAATACCTGACTTTGACAAGAAGTCACCTCCAGAAAGCATAACACTGATAATGAATTCGAAGGAACATCATGTAAATAAGTTAGTTATGAAGTTTGTTTCCTCCTGCATGAAAATACGTGATTCATTGTTAGTAATGTAACCGAATTTTTCTAGATTATTATTAGCGCTGTTTTGTTTTATATTTTGATTGTCATATACATGCTTTTGCAATACTGTAAAATGATGCGGTCATGCAAATAAAGCAATTTATTACTATTACTATTGCTACTACACCTACTACACCTACTACAGCTACTACACCTACTACAGGTACTACACCTACTACAGCTACTACAGCTACTACACCTACTACAGGTACTACAGGTACTACAGGTACTACAGCTACTACAGCTACTACAGGTACTACAGCTACTACAGCTACTACAAGTACTACAGCTACTACAGGTACTACACCTACTACAGGTACTACAGCTACTACAGCTACTACAGCTACTACAGGTACTACAGGTACTACAGGTACTACAGGTACTACAGGTACTACAGGTACTACACCTACTACAGCTACTACAGGTACTACAGCTACTACAGCTACTACAGCTACTACAGGTACTACAGGTACTACAGGTACTACACCTACTACACCTACTACAGCTACTACAGGTACTACAGGTACTACAGCTACTACACCTACTACAGCTACTACACCTACTACAGGTACTACACCTACTACAGCTACTACAGGTACTACAGCTACTGCAGCTACTACAGGCACTACAGGTACTACACCTACTACAGCTACTACACCTACTACAGCTACTACAGGTACTACAGCTACTACAGCTGCTACAGCTACTACAGCTACTACACCTACTACAGGTACTACAGCTACTACAGCTACTACAGGTACTACAGCTACTACAGCTGCTACAGCTACTACAGCTACTACAGCTACTACAGCTACTACAGCTACTACAGCTACTACAGGTACTACACCTACTACAGGTACTACACCTACTACAGCTACTACAGCTACTACAGCTACTACAGCTACTACAGGTACTACAGCTACTACATCTACTACAGGTACTACAGGTACTACAGGTACTACGGCTACTACAGGTACTACAGCTGCTACAGTGCTACAGCTACTACAGGTATTATTACGTCTACTAGGGCACAGTTACTACAGCACTAACAGTGGTGGGCGGTGGCCCGGGACATTTTGGGCAGTCTTACACCAAGTACTACCCTCATCGCGTACAAGGGGTACCGATCTTCCAGTTCGAGTGGCTTTCAGTGAACTCTCGTCAAAATATCGGAAAACATCTTTCAGCATTTTAGTTAGATTAGAAGTTCGACCGTCAATTTCAATTTGCATGACGGTCCCAAATATTCCCATTATTTAGCATTGAAAACAAGCGTAAAATGACGATCGATTTACCAACATTTTTTATTGAAATTGTTCGCTCAGAACACTAAAAACGGCGTTTTAGAACTTCAATGTTTCAAAATTGTCTGGGGGAGCATGGCCCCATACCCTCCTAGCGGGTATTCGTACGCGAAGGAACGCAAAGCACAAAGTGGGGTGTATGGAGTATGGGGCCTTAGACGCTTGCGTCATTAGTCTATCTTTAAAAAAAGTATCCCGATTTTTCCACCTTAAAGGGTTGGACAGTCTGTAATCTCATACCATGGATGCCAGAGGTTTTTTCGCGCGTGTGACGAGCGACACGTCTCAGCAATCTGACAAACCATTAGTAGCTATTAGTTCTAGGCATGCATGAAATGGTATTCTGGTCCAAGACAATTTCAGGTATTCAGTATTAAAGATTTTACAATTTTTAGGTATATTAGAATCTAACGAGGAAAAAATGGGGTACTGATTGGTATCCCAACACCCCCCCTGGCGGGCCTGAGTAATAAGCAATTTTACCGTGACACGGGATTACCTTCTGCTAAGTGGATATGGCACTTCGACCGTTTCTTGACCTGAAGCATTAATCTTTTCGCTGTAGCCTGTACCAGAATGTTATATTCATATAACTCTGAAGAACCGTCATGCGTCCAAATTCCTTTTATTTGTTTAGAATCATGCTGGGGATTTTAGCCATTCTATCAGAAGAACGGATTTTTTTTTTTGCTCTAATATGGAATCAGAGAATGGAAGGCATCCCTCTATAAAAAGTAGCTAATAAAGAATCCTTCAAGTCCTTAAACAGTTCTCTATGTTCATCCATAACTCAGTAGTTACACACTCCGCCGTTTACATTTTTTATGTAACAAGTCAACGGACAAAAATACTTATATTTACAGGAGCCGACGAGTGTGTTGTCATATGCGCTCGCTAAGCTGCACTATGGCATGCACTAAAAACTTTGTTTTCGAAAACGTTCTGTAAAGAACAACAACAACAAAAAAAAAAAAAAACAACAATCTTCGTGATCGATAAGTAACGACGCTCGAAAATCGGCGAGCACGCCAATCCCCCGCGGTTTTGTTTCATACGCGCGCTCGACGATCTCTAAACTCTGTGAACAGTCTAGTTTCGCTATAGCGATATATTTTTTTTCCTTACTTTGACCTCATGCTGTCATTTAAGACTGCAGAATGACTGCAGAGCTTTAATAAGCACCATCTCCTCACATTATAAGGAGGTCGGGACCACAGATTCTCTCTTGAAAAACCCGAGGGTTCATCAGGGGCCTGAAACAATTCGTTGTGCTATTTTATCAAATGAAGTGAAGAGATATTTGGTGTCAGCATTCATAAATAATTAGTCAACTGACCGTTATCACAATCGGTAAAAAAGTACACTGCATAACAAAATGTGGAGAAGCAGGCGAAACGAAGACGGAAGCAAACTGGTTATGAAGCGTGCGAATTAACCAAAGTGAACACTGAGGTGCTTTGTGCAGTGCGGGTAGGTTTCATGTCATTATGGATGACCTTCTCCTTTCTGAAGTTCAGATTATTGAAAAGAACCGTGAACAAACAAAAAAATACAGTGGGATTATATTGGGAAGTATACTTCCGAAAAACGAAAGGAATTATCAAAATATTGGTTAAAAAAAAAACAAAAAAAAATACTGAAGCCAGCGTTTTGAGGAAGATTGAATCAAATCACGCAAACGTCGTTACGTAGGAATTTCTATTGGCCATTTTTGCCCAAGAAAGAACAAAGCATTAACTTTCATTCAAACCGATATTTAAATTTTCAGTATCAGAAAGAAAATGACCAAGAGTGTACTGTAAGGAACCCTGCGTTGAAATCACTGGGATAAGATGAAGTGAGAAGGGAATGGGAGGCAGCTAAGCGCGCTAAAGTGACCTTTTGGGTAACGGAACCGCCACGCTAAGCAAGGGAAGATGCCGCAACTAGCGTTTGCTAATCACGCCATCAGCACTGTGAATTGGGGACAGCCTTGTTAGGGTGATGGGTATCACTTTCGACAGCGATAGAATTTGACCGATGCAAATGGCATTTCATCCAACTTGAAACTAGTTTTGTCAGTTTTAAAGGAACAAGTTCTGTAAGGAAGTTGTTCATCTAAAATCTTCTAAGTTGCTTCCTTGTTGGCTTAAATCATAACTGACTTTTGTGATCACATTACAAATACCAAACATCCCTTTTACGGTTCAAAAGGTTTGGGGAGCTTATTGATTCGAAAAAACAAAGAGGATTGATCACTAATCTCCTCTTTCGACGCTTATACACAAAGACACTAAAAGGATATAGCTGAGACGTGATGAAAAACAAACTAACAGTTGCCCCATAGTAGTAGTTATAATGCATTTATTAAACAATAACTTTGTATCACTTTGGCGTGGCAGTGACTTAATTTTCCCCAGCTTTTTGATGGAGCAAGTCAGATTTTCTGTGCACATTTTGAGAGAAGCGAATAATCCGTCAATGAGCTTCGCAAAGTCAGACACTAATTAAGAAGCTGCAACTCTTGACACTTCAAGGATAAAGCAAAATACTTCATCACGGGAACATTGAATTAAAGCGAAAAGTTAAAGTCAAACATTTAACATACAGTTGGAAAAGTTGTCTTTGGAGGAAAAGGGGAAGCTAAAGAAAATAAGGTTAGTATATGTAAAAATTCCCTTATTGTCTGTGGACAGGAACTAATGATATATAATTGCAGGATGTTTATTTAAAACGTCAGGATTAAACCACTGTTCTCTAAGGGGCAAAACAGTGAAAGGGGGAGGAAATCTTCGAAGGAGCAGAGGCCTGAGGGAGTTCGCGCAAGTTCTTTCCTCTACCTTTTTTTGGTCATTTTTGTTGGGAGATTAGAATGACTTACTGCAATACTTAGGCCAATTCTCCGACGAGTGTTTTCCCCCCTTCACTCGACCCTAACTTCAGGACTGTGATAAATCATATCCATTTTAGGTAATTCAGTGCTTTACTTCCCCATAATCTGAGCACACAACAGAAATGATGCCTTCACGTAAAGACAATCTGTAATTATATTATTGGCATGAGAGGGAACATTTCTTCAGTTAAGCTAAGATGGTGGGAGAGCAACGTCTTCTTGTTGTCTTCTACGCGGTATGCACTGCTGTGCTTCTTGCTCAAGGAAGTCAAGGTACCATGCATGAAGTATTTGCTTATTGAAATGTTTTACGAATATGCTTTTAAATACTGACATTCGATGGTCATTATCTACGGTAAAATTAATGAAAGTTTCATTTCAATTAAGAAAGAAGGCAGGAATCGGGGATGGGGCGCGCAAGGAAAGAGCAAGTTATGGAACTATGTTTAAGACCATTGCGCTCAAGGCGTTTTGAAATTATTAATGTAGCCACCGTGAATAGCCCAGAGGCAACGGGAGCTTAGTTTTGACACTTTTCTTCTCTTTATAATAGCAATCATTTTCAAAGCTGGAAAAACCAACATCACTATCAGAAGTCCAGGGTTGTTCGCTTGTGAGACAATCACATTTGCTGAACCGTTCTCTGGTGGAAAGCAAGTAAAAGTCTTTGCTGCGTTTGGTCACTCAGTTAACAACCAGGCCCGTGGTAATGGTGCTGCTATTTGGGTGGAATCGGCAGATAGAACTCAATTCCGCGCTTGTATCTACGAGTACAGTGACGGCTCAAATTCAACTGCTGAGATAAACTGGATTGCCCTACAATCTGCTCCCAAAGGAGCACAACTAGGAACCGCTTCCCTAGACTCTTGGACTACCGGAACAGAATGTAAAAAGATCGAATTTCCTCAGGTACGTTCCATTTTGCTATGATTACCTACAAGGTACCCATGGAGGATTAATCTAAAAAAGGCAGAGACTGGTGATCTATGTAAGGTATATCTAAAGGATGTAACTCACGACCACAAATGCGATTCCTCTTAGGGAACTTAATCAGCTGTTCAAATTTAGGCGGAAAATTGACATCACTTAAGTTTCAAGTTCAGTTACCTATATACAATGTACATGCTATTATGCACGGGCGTCATGATTTAACAGGAAATGAAGATAAAAGTCTAAAAGTAGCCTGCGTGGCAGGCGCAAAAAGGGGAGGGGGGAGGGGGGAGGGGGGAGGGAGAAAGGGAAAAGGGAAGGGAGCGCCTACTCTAAGAGCCTATGTTTTTGCATAACGCCCACCAATTTTCTAGTAATCCGATTACGCTTACTGTCAATCAAGTGACGCTACACTCGCCAATCAGAACGCAAGGCGGAACCCTGTAGTTACGAGGAAATTTATTTGATTTGCCGGGAACTCACGTTGCATAAATATTTATCAAAGCGAGAAATTCTCACTTCTGGACAACCAGAAATTTAACGTGGAAATGTTATTTTAAGAATTTCGATCCGCCACGTGGGTATTTATGTTCAAGTTCAAAGCTCAAAGACAGAACGGCTGTACCGTTCTCGCCACAACAAAGTACAACGAAAGTTGCTCTTGCAAAAGCAACTAAGCACAAAGCCAACCCGGCAACTGATGAGGTTCATGTGGCGAACCGAAACCATGGTCTTGCCCGATCCCAAACTGTGGCAATAACAAAACAGTCTAAAGACTGTTAAGCTTATTCAAAGCTATTACCAAGGGAGCAACTTCGCGCTCCAGTCAAAAGACTCACACTATCTTTACAAAAACACTAAGCTGGAGTTTACTGAGTCACAATTCAATTCTCCATAGTAAGTTTAATGTAGCTTCAGTTTAAGCTGCAGTTCACTCTTATAATTTTGGATCTGTAAGTCACTATCCGTGATAATTTTTAAATGTTAAAACATTCTGCAAAGAAAACTGACGAGCTGGGCCCAGCGTGATACAGCATTGGAGAAAAACATTACACTCACGGACTAAAGAAAATCGTTTAATTATTCAGATCCAGAGGGCACCTTGAAGAAAATTGGAGCCCTTATTCAGCCGTAATAAAAAAGCTTTACGCTTCAAAAGAGGTCAAAGAAAATGCGCTTGCCTCAGAGGGCAACGACCAGAAAACAATAACTACAGTCAACCGATATGTATGTCATGACCTCTCAGTGTGAAACATGCGGCTAAAATCTCATTTGCTCAGTATAAATGCAGAACCTTCCAGAGCATAATCTACCCAGCAGATAAAAACAACTTTATTGGAATAAGCAGCATTTTGGCATGAGGTAAAAGTCGTGTAGGCCTACCACCCCCTTTTATTGCTATAATTACCATTTAGCTCGTAGTTCTTCGCGCGTACAAACATTTGGTAAATTAAACTCTTGCCGTATCCGGTCGGCAAAAACACCAGGACATCTCTGTCGGCTAAAAGAGCCCTTACTGCTGATTCTTGCTCTGGTTTTAAAACACTTTCTCCACCACTAGATAAATTCACATCTCTCAAAGCACTCTCTACGACATCCACGTCTACGGCTGCCATCTCGACTGTTTGTTGAAATGTGAAACGAGCATTTCAATATGTTACTCATTACGGCTCAGCCAATCAGGAATTTGCGTACGCCAGGGTCCGCAGATATGAACAAAAGGGGTTTCTTAGAGCAGGCGTCCCCTCCCCCTCTCCCCAATCCCCCTCCCCTTTTTCTCTTCCTCCCTATCCCCTACCCCTACCCCTTTTGACGCCTGCTACGCAGGCTAGTCTAAAAGGTTAATCGTTAGTTTGTTTTAATTTCAGAATGATTAATGCAATGAAACAGCGTACTTTGTACTGTGATTTTTGTTGCGCGGCTCTCCCTCTTTGTTTTCGTGTATTTTGTTTGGCGTTTTTTTTTTTTTTTTTTTTTGTGGAATGCGCAGTATTATAACTAAGGACAATTTCCTCTCCATGACCCACGCTAGGCCACCCATATTATCATCTATCCCTACTCCCCGACCTCAAACCCTCTCACTCTTTCATCCGTATTTGATTAATATTAGTTAGCCCTTAATTATTAACCGAGCGGGAGGTCTGTATGGGAGAATCTTGACCGACGTCGCCAGTACAGACCGAACGCAGTGAGGTCTGTACCAGCGACCGAGGTCAAGATTAATAAGGTCGGTTAATAAGATGTCTATTATACGGCCAAACAAGAAAGCAAAGGAGCAAATACATAGAGGATTTTATTTGCTTCCCTGGGCGGGCTCAATCATTTAGCTGGATTTCTTCTGTCACAGGTCTCCAGTCCAAACGGGACAAAAATAACTGTTCAAAGTCCAGCTTTGTACAAACTTCCGTTCGTCAATGAATGAAAACAAAATTTTTCATACAGGCTCATTGAAAAAGCTTGTGGTTGAAACAACAATTTATGAGAAGTGACCAAAAGCACAACTGCTATGTAAGTTATGCCTGTTTATGCCTCATATATATCGCTCAGCGATCAGTTCTCATTCAGCCTTGCGATCTTTGACTGATCCCCACAGAAAACGTTGATGTTGAATGTGCAGCCTTCGAACTTGTCAATATGCGCTCCGGCAAAAATTGCCTGAGGCTGGATTTGTTGGACTGTGAAGACAATTTGCTGTGTTGCAGTGGAGGTACTGACTTGGTTTTGTTCGGACTGAGCGGATGTACCTGGCTCACGATTCGGGATAGTAGACATTTCTCGCTGTCGCCTCAGAGATGCTGAATGGTAGCTGTCGAGCCGCTTTTCAAATTTTTGTGGCCGCTTAGCTGTGCAACGAAGTTTGGCTGAACGTCTGCTTCCAGAAGTCGTGCAAATAGCGTTGAAAACTTCGCTTCAAGCCGCTTAAAGTACCCGGCTCGTACTGCCATTTTGTTTACGACCGGAAATGGAAAATTTAAACAAGAGAAGGTCAGGTCATTGGCAGGCATGTTTTTCAATTGCTCTAGACTCTTTCAGTGACTCACAAAATTTCTTCCATGTGTTTAAATCGCTCTTTAAGTCTTGTATTGAGTGTTTTTTATTTCTGCCCCTGCAAAAATTTCTCAATTTGGACTTTATCTTTGCTCGTAGCTTCCTCGGCAGGACGCAAATTTGCTAAAGTTTGCTCGTTTTCTTTACCTGCTTCCCCGTGAATGTCCTCTAATTCTTCGATTTAGTATTATTAACAGGAAAAAGCCATTTTTTTCATATTCTTTGTTTGTAACTTTTTGAGGACAACTGTTACAACAAGATCGGTCTAGATGCTGGTCTAGATGGGAAAATCTAGACCGTGGTCAATATCGATTTTAGCCAATCAAATTCTTGAATTTGTTTGTTTCCAGTCCTTTTGAGGCATGGCCATATACACCTTTTGCTGTTCGTTACGAGAAAATACGCATTCATTTGCGTGAAACGGCGACCAACAGCGCGAAGATACATTCATTAGCGCGAAAAAGCGAACATTTGCGCATAAATCAGATTCAATAACGATTTTTGCATTTTAATCAACATTCAATAAAATTTTCGGCATTCATTTGCGTCATCCGGCATACAAAAGAAAAAAATATACTTTCATTAACGCCAACATTCGAGTCACTAACATTATTATTGAAAATCATTAGGGACAATAGACAAACATTTAAGTGCAAACGCTATTCATTAACATTTTTATGACACCGTTTGCAAGTCAATAGCACTCCTGGACAGCTTTAGAATGGATAAGACGAACATTAATGCGCTTGGAAAATCAATTGAGCGTTCTTTGCATTTAAAAAAATCTGTTTTCAATTAAACAATACCAATTCCCCTCCAAAATTGGCCTGAATTTGTTTAAAGAATCACGCCGTACTTCGCCACTGTGTGTTCGTCGACGGCTGCGGCTATACATTTACCCTACTCGGCCAGAAGTCATGGTGGGGCGCGACAGGTAGTGGAGGGCGTACCGCCAACTGTGCGGCAAACGAGGACGAAACTTGACTATGACCATGGCACTATCACCTATCAAATGTTTTCCTCGGCAGCTGCTGGAGTAATGAATACTGTGTCGGTTTTTCGGTGACTTTCTGGCACGGGCGAGGAAAAAATGGATCCCGATAAGTCGGTGGTCTTTGGGTATGACGGGGTGCCACTAGCCCACCTAGATTTAGCCATTCCCGCCCCATACGTTCACTACTTACCCTTCCCAACTCGACATCGTTGAAAAGGATCTAAGTTGTCTGAAAGCGACACCAACCGACATCTCGAGTCCGGAAATTTAAAGATGTATAAAAAGAATGAGAGGGCAAAGCCCTAGCAATCCCACTAGCGGATTTCGGAAACAACAACTGCAGTGCTTACATAATAAACTCTCATATATACGAGTCGAAAAGCAATAAAACATTGGCGTTAAAAGTCAGGCTTACGCTCCCCTCCGTAAATCTATTTAGAGAATCTTTCATGCAATATAATCATTAAACACGGTACACAAACTCAGTATTGTTGGCCAAATTTGTTTTCTAATTTAAATAACTTTACACAAAGTAATTATATTTTACGATAGCTGGTACTGTTTGTAAAATATTTTTGTCCTTTTCTCACGGCTTCAGTGTGAGTGTCTCCTTCCAACAGAAGTTTTTTTCTGTATGTGGGTGATTAAGTCCGTGTAATATTATGAATCGCGCGTAAATAAATCAGAAAGATTCTTTTAGTTGTTGTTGCAGCTGCTGCTGTTGTTGTTGTACAGAAACGAACCACTGTTTATTAGATTGCTCCATTTAACTTAATTAAGTCACTGAGTCCCTGATTATAATTTTTGGTGTTTACACCGTGATGAATGGGTTGTAAATTTCCTTTGTCTTTTTTTTCGTTTTCAGGGCTCTTTAACTCGTTCATCTTTTTTCTTTCCTTATTTAAAGCGTTTTGCGACTCCTCCAATCGTACTTGCGACTCCTAGTCACCAGTTTCCTGAGAGACCTCAAGACGCCATGGTAGTGTGGGTGGAGGAGTTGACCGAAGACAGTTTTAAAATCTGTCTTAGGGAAGTGAAAATTTTTGACGGACTTCACAAAGGCATTACAAATGTAAGCAGAGTTAAAATACTTTTTTAAAGACCTGTATCCAATTGCATCGACTTTTCTTAGCTACACATATATTGTATTGTATACAAATTTACCAGAATACTTACAAAAATAAATAGTCGAACTTTTATAATACATTTTTAGTTTTGAAATATCATTCCTCGCAGTTATTCCTTTATTAGTTCCTAAACTACATAAAAAAGGACAATATGTGTATAAAATACCTACAGTTATAAGGCAGTAATTGATTCTATTAGAACCAACCTCAAGACATTTGGTGAAAAAAGCAAACAAAAACCAAATTAAAAGAAACAAAAACTGTCAGTGCAGTCAAATCTCTGTTACCATGTGTACATGAGTAAAGGTACTCAAATTAAATCTTACCAGAAGATTTTATAAAATGATATACTTAGGTTATCGGCTCAGTACCCGTTTTGTTAAATTATAATCAGGTTCCTACTTGGGTAAAACTTCTATAGGGACTGGTCCCATTACTCGGATAACTGACTCATTAACCTTAAATGTCGTTTTTTTTTTTCGTTGTTGTAGAACTGGATGGCTTATACAAATCTTCGAGTCGATAACTTCTCCTTATCTGGCAGTCTTGTGTTTACGAGCAACAACTCGCCATCTCAACAGGGTGACTATGCCTTTTGCCAGGTAAA